GGGGGGGGGGGGGGGGGGGGGTACACAGGGCTGCTGTGCCCCATGTCCATGCAAGCACCCTAAATTCGCCACCCTCCCTGCACCCACTAGTCTAGTCGGTCCAACATCCATCGGAATCACAGCCAAGCGTGCCAGTACAAGAGGGGCTCGCCTCATGGAACTCATTTGACAACCGCCGCACAAGCAACCTCACCTCACGCACATGATCGATGCCCCCCCCCGCCCCTCCCCGCCAGCCAGACGCCCCAAAAACGAGGACATCCTGCGCGTCCCTCCCAATCCCGAGAGAACTTTAACGGAAAACGAGAGGAAATTCCTCACGTCAGAAACGGCTCTCTTCGTAGAATCAAGGACATCGCTCCATCTAGAATCGCCCGCGACCCCTGCTCCCTCCGGCCCCGCCCCGCATACCCCTGCCCCCCCTGCCCCCTCGCATACCCCTTCCGCGCCCCCTCGCCCCGTCCTTGACCTTCCCGGGCTTTTGCTTGGGCGCGTCGTCGATGAGCAGCTGGTCCAAGTTGAGGTTATCCGGCAGGATGTAGCACCGGATGTTGTTGCCTCTGATGGAGAGGCTGTCATATGTGGTCGGGTTCTTGCCCTTGGGCGTTACCTGATAAGGGGGCGACGGGGCGTTGGGGGGGGAGGTGGGGGGGCGTCTTACGATCAGGTCCGGTGAAAGAGAGGGTGGGAGGCAGGGTATTTGGGCCGAGACTATGCAGCATTAAGTGTATGCAGAGAAAGAGAGGAGAAGGAAGATATAGATGGAGGGTATGCCTACATTTTTTTGTTGGTTCTGTGTGATGGGTGGTAAGAAATAAACGCAAAGCCAAGAAGCTGTCGCTACTAAAAGGTTGGCGGGGGGGAAGGTTGCCTGGGGTAAAATAAATGTGGTTGTGGCTGTTTGTCTTGCCGTAGCCCAACTGGTGGTAGAGGGTCCCCACTGTCGTCACAACGTCCTTGCCAAGACAAATCTACACCCGAGGGAGTCATGCCGGTTCCAGCGCGCTACTCCTACCGCGACCAATACCGCGAGAGGCGGAGAGGATATACGGAGACCCGTACATGGATTTTCAAGACTCGATTGCTCCACAACGAAGCTTGTGCCGAAACCCAAAAATGTGACTTCGGAAACATGTCGTCGAGGGCTTTCCGTCGACGTGTTTGGCTGTTATGTCATGCGCACCCCTGTTGTTGTGGAGCAGTCGAGCTTTGAAAGTCGGTCTAAGGGGGGCGCAATCTCTCTTCCTCTTACAGCACGTCAATCAAAGAGAGAGTCTCCGCGGCAAGGATATGAACATACCTGACGGACATATCGAAGGATATTGCGACCGCCAACTGTCACAGAATCTCGACAGCACTGACTGGATACCTAATAGCACATGTCGAAGGATCTTGCGACCGCCAATGCGTCAAGAAATTGAGCCCTGGTGGCCGGAAGAACTTGAACATAATCGGTGGAGCTAGGCTTCATCTGATTGAGACCATCTCGATCGGGGCAAATAGTTGCACCCAGCGATTCTCTCTCAAAAGGAGACAAGTGGCACACATGATGGTTTCCCCAGCACGCTAAAACCTTCGGGGTCGGTGAGCTTACTGCCTGGGATACATATTGATGGTGCTCTTGTTGATTTGTAGTTGGCAGGCACATGTGTTTTGTCTGTGGTGTCAGCGATGACCGGGCGGAAGGTGCGATTGGGCTGCTGCCAGCGTGTCTGTCGGTGGAGGGTAGCTCTATGTACACAGAACGACTACATTGTTCCCGTTCGAGATATAACCACAGTCGAATGGGAGGTGTTGGATTCTTTGCAGTGAGTAGAGGGAAACCAGCTGGGTACCGGGCGTATTTCGAGTCTGTCACAAGCCCAACACTTGTTGTACAGGAGTGTGCAGTGCGGTGAAATCTGTCTCTCGTCGTCTTTTGAGCGTTTGAAACAAGATAAGCAACATCGCGGATCGATGAAATGGGGTCGGAGGGGTGGAACGCACACTGCGTTTGTAGTGAGAGTGAATACGTGTAGGCTGTGTGGCTACAAGCTGCGTTGGCTTGGAGAGCCAGGCATACCGCAGTAGACCTGAGTTCGAAAATTTGCTCTCTGCCGGTTGGTGGGCGAGTCCGAAATTGCGCCGCATATTTTTGGTGATCGCGGCATCGCCTATCGCCGATACGCATGAAATTAACAGCAGTGGCGATGCCTCCCACTAAACCCTTATACGCATAAATACAGGCAGTGTGCTGTCATTGCCATCCACCATGTAGCAACGCAGGAGCGGGCAACATCTGTCATGTACGCCCGCAGATCCACAATTCACCACACAAAAGGCGTGGCGATAGCAGTGAGAGGCAACACACGTCCGTCCAAAGAGAGCAAACGAGAGCAATACCCTTGCACAAAATAATATCAGTGCAGCGACAACAAGCAACAGCGGCAGTAGCAAAGGCAGCAGTAGTTCTCTCTCTCTCTCTCTCTCTCTCTCCCTCACCTTGACATTCTTGAGATGCGTGTTCATGCTCACATCCACCGAGGCAACGGTGCCGTGCACCGTGGTACCGTTCTTCAGCTCGACGGTCACCGTCTCGTTGTTCATCTTCATCAAGAACCGAACGAGCTTCATGGTAGCCGCTTCCTCCTGCTCCCTCTCCCCAGAGCAATGTCCCTCAACGCCTCGCCCTCCTCAAAGCCGAATGGATCCGTAGCGATTAGCTGCGCCTGCTTTGCCACGCCTTTGTTTGCGCTCCGCCCCCGGCTTGCTTTGCTCCGGTCGGCTGCTGCCTCTCGAAAAACCGCTACCGCACAACTGGTTTTGGCGCCAACACGCGTCCCTCGATCCGCCGCAAAAAAAAAGCTGAAAGGACAAGCAGGACTAGCGGCTGTTCGCAGTTGCGCGTTTCCTCTCTGATCCTGTTGTGAATCAGCGTAGGTGCGAAGCGGGCGTTGGCGCTCTCGTTGCCATGGACGACAGGAGCTTGTATCCACGGAACCCCAACCCCCATGCAATGGTAGCACTTGTTGTGCCCCTTCATTTTTTTAATTGCGGAACATTTTATCTGCGAATTTGAGTTGGGTCGATCGTCTCGCCTGCTCTCTCTTTATCGATACCTCTCCTAGTTCTCTCGGCCCTTGCATCGTGTGCGAGGTGAAAGATTAGCACGATTCCCTCTGTAACGACTGGAACAACATGCATGTTGAGATTTCGAGCGAGGTGTGTAGAGCTCGATACGATCGCATCGCCTTCGCTCAGGGAGGCTCCAGCGACAGCAGCAACAACAGCGGCAGCAGCAGCAGCAGCAGCAGTAGCACAGGCGATGCCGCATCCTGTAGAGAACGGAGGTGGTTGCTCGAGCTTGGGGCGATGACTGTTCTGGAGGCGGAGCTAGAGACCTTGTCCGTGGACCAGGCTGCGTCCACGGCAGGAAACGGTGGTCGAACGGAAGGCGGCGGCAGTCGCAACAACAGCAGTGCACGAGATAGAGAGTCCTACAAGTCGTGCCTGGAGGCTATGCTGGATGAGCACTACGATGCCTTGGGTGAGTTGTATGCATAATATCCTTGGCGAGGACTTGGGCCTGTTCTGCTCTGGTGCTGTGCCGAGGCCCCTCTCATCATGTAACCTTGACATCTATCGCCTCGATGATAAACGATGGCGAAGTTTCCTGCTGCTCGAGGACGAGTCGACATGTAGTGCATGTACCGTTAGCAGCTCTCGCACGGCCGCGGGAACCTGAATATGGCGTAATTACGGTAAGGTGCTTTAGTACCACAGAGCACATACACGTTGTAGCCGATAGAAGCTGCTGCAAAGGGCAGCAGTACAACGCGTGAGATCTAGTGCTGCAGCAGTGCGACACGTGAAATCTACCGATAACTCTGTCATTTTGTATTGTTGTTGATGTGGTTGTTGTTGTTGTTGTTGTTGTTGTTGTTGTGCACCTTTCATTGAACACAACAATAACAACGCCTCCCAGTAGTCAGCAGCAATGCCAACCAAATTCGACCCATCCGCCCCCCCCCAACCCCAGACGACGCCGACCACAACATCACCACCAGCATTCCCACCAGTCTCCTCGAAACCATCATCAAGGCTAGTAGCACTGCACCACCCATCACCATCAGCGAGGAGGGCTGCAGCGACGCCTTTCGCCCCGTGGAGGTGTCCACCATGCTAGCCGTTCTGCCGGGACTGATGGTGGAAAGAGATCCCCTCCTTACGACAGCTGCTACAACGACGGCGAGAAGGTCATCCACGGCGGCGACCGACGGACAGACAGTTGCGTCAAGGGCGGGGGGTGTAGGCGGCGGGGACGGAAGCGGTGCGGAGGGCGGCACTTCAGCGGCTTCGACAAAGCCAGTCTCCCACGGCGGCGATGCTTCGCGTACCATCCCGTCTCTTCGCCGTGGCAACGCCAGTAGCAGTGATGACGTCACCAATGACGCCGCCGACAGGAAAGACCGCCGTTTTCCGCCAATAAGCAGCAGCAAGAGCAACGGCAACAACCACGCCATCTCCCGGCCGCTGGGGAAGCCTCAGCATCAGATTCGGCACGGGGCTTCGGTGGCTGCCGATGGGGGGCCGGTCAACCCCTACGCTGTGCCCCCCGCCTCCCGCAGCGCCGGGAGAAGCACCAACAGCATTAACAGCTCAGCGACTACTACTCCGTTCCCACCAAGCAATGTTCGAGGCGTGGCGAGGACGCCTGTCCAGGGGTTTCCGGGGTCAGGAGGGGCGGGTTCAGACGGGGGTGAAAGGCGTTCGTCTACATCCAACGGCTGCGAAAGTCGGGCACCCCCAGGCGATCTTGACGCTGGTGCCAGGTGAGCTAGTGTTGGGGACGTACCTAATGTTTCTCCTGCAGTATCGCTGGGGCCTCCAAAAGAACACCCAGCCGCGGCGGCGGCTTGACTCCGCAGCGGGGGATGTACTGTCAACAGAAACTTCCCTCACTGAAAAGACTCCACCACATCCCGTGCGCCTGAGGCAATGTCTCGAACGGGTATTCTTTCCGTGTGTTTATTTGTTTTTCCAAGGAAACTGTTGCTTGTCCAACACATGGTGTTTTTGTTGCTGTGGTTGATATGATCTGGTTGTCGACAAGATCCACGGACTTGTAAGGAATCATTTTCATTTGCAGATGTTCATCTGTAGCAAATGTAGAATGGCTCATGTCGTCTCCGTCTCTCACCACGTGACAATCAGTATTCCTGGTGAACACGCGCAAGGACTAGCGACGGTTTAATTGTTGTTCTTGCCTATTGGATTGGTATAACAGAGGAACTGGTACAAGCGAAGAAAGGAGCTTGGCCTACTGCACCTGTGTGGGGTATTCCGTGACGCTGGAGCACGGTGATACGACCTGTTGATGGAGTGCTGACTGCGATTTCATGAGATACAATACCAATATGAACGAGCGTGAAGCCAACGTGGGTCCGCGAGGATCCACCACCTTGTGCCTGTGTCGACCTCTCTCGTCTAGAACGGAGAAACGGCTCCTCTTCTGCCCCCCCGTCTCCTAGTGCTGCTGGTTTATCCGACGCACAATGTGCACATTTCCGCTGTACGCGGAATTCCGAAGCCTCGCGTATTCTCATGGGTCGCTTGTTGCGGGAATGCTTGCGGGTGTTCCGAGACCTCCAGGGTGCGCGACGAAAAATGAGCGGTTTCGAATCCGCCTAGGAAGATATAGTACTTACTCTTTTTTGTTTTGTTTTTCTTTCGTCTGAAGTTTGTGTTTCTTGTTGATGCCTCTGCGACAAGGAACTTTTTTGGCGGCCCTTCTTCCGGGCCCGTTTGGTCACAAGACCGGTCACGGCAACAGCACCATCAACTGCAGCAGCACTATCAACAGCAGCACCAGCAGCAGGCGACCCCTCGCTACGGTGATCGAAACCCCGCCAGAGGAGCTCTTCTTCCAGCGGGGGGAGGAGGAGGCCGAGACCCCCACGCAACAGCAGACGCTTGGGCAGCAAGAGACCCGACTCCCGTCCGGGGAGGCTTGTACGAAGCGGGGGGCGGGATGGGCCCGGGGCAGCAGCAGCAGCAGCAGCAGCAGCAGCAGCACGGGAACGGTGCATTCAAGACCGCCAGAGAACTCAGAGCTTCGGTGAGCTTGGACCTACCATGTTGACATCCCAAACCTGCTTGTCTTCCGGATTACAATAATGATAGCGTTTGAGTGCAATTGGAATACAAAAATGATGAGTTTGAAGGCCAGTCGTCTGTCACGGTTTCGAAATAGTCGAACTGCTCTCCCCGGAAAGATTTCTCTTCGCGGCATCATGGGCACAGACACCGAACCTTAGGCCCGGCCCTCTCTCAACCCACCCATTAGCTCCGCTCAGAACGCACATGTAATTGGTAACGCTGGCGTCTGGTCGTGGTCTTCCGAAACGTTTGCGCGGGGCTGGGTGGAAAAAATCGTTTTCGAGCAAACGAAATGCGATGTTTTCTAGTACCCGATGTGGGTGTCATCATTTTTTTCTTGTCCAGGCGCTTTGAATTGATCCTCTGTTTATCTCCCTGCGTTAGTACCTATAGTGTGGTGGTTTTCACGACCAGTGGAAATCGCTTTGAATTGATCCTCTGTTTATCTCCCTGCGTTAGTACCTATAGTGTGGTGGTTTTCACGACCAGTGGAAATCGCTTTGAATTGATCCTCTGTTTATCTCCCTGCGTTAGTACCTATAGTGTGGTGGTTTTCACGACCAGTGGAAATGTCAGCATCCAGGAGCACAGCCACTTTCCTCCACGTTGAGGCGAGGCGAGTGAGGCCTCTTCCGTTTCGTCTCTTGACAGTGTTGCATGCGTTGCTTACAGTCGTTCTTGACAACAGCGATCGTCTCTTTCAGTTCCGCGAAAACGCTGGGGTGGTGGTGCTGCAGTCGGTGGAATTGGGAAGGGAAGGGTGTAAAAAAAACGAAAACAAAAACAACCATGTTCCATCATCATGAACACATCATGAACAGGACATCGCTCCGGGTAGAGGTGGAGGCGGCAGCGGCAACGGCCACGACACCTTGAGGAGAAGAGGAGGGGAGCAGCAGCGAAGTTGGGACGGGCGAGATAGCGGGAGAGGGGGGGTGTGGAGCGGCGGTAGCACCGGCGGAAATCAGGGACAGCGTGTTGGCGGTAGCAGCAACGGCTACAGCAACGGCTGCGGCGAGTACGAGAACGGTCACGGCAGGTACAGCAACAGATGCTGCAGCGCCAACACAGCAGGTGTAGGCCACGGGGAGCCCGGCTTTCAACCCTATCGATCTATGTCCCGCGCGCGAGGCCCGCCTCTAGAGGTTCACGAACTCCTGCCGTGACTTCGGCAAGTATGTGTAAGTGGGCCCAATTGAAGTAGCCCCATCGTCCCCCCGCTCTCCAGACCGCATGACTCCCACTGCTGTTGCTCGAGAAGCTCGAGAGGGCTCCGCTCGTGTGCGAAGAATGGACGAAACTGTTTGTTGTACGCGACAGCGATCCCCCGGGTGTTGGCAATGGTACACCATGTCGCCCCTTGGAGTTATGTTTTATATTGGCGCTGTCTGTTCTTGACGATTCAGGTACGGCAGCAGCAGCAGCAGCTTTGACGACGAGGTGAACACGAGGGGAGGACAGGGACCCTCCATTCCCCCCCGGCTACCCAACGGGCCCGGCCTCGTTCGAAAACGGAAGTTCGTTCCCCCAGGACGGCTTGACAATAACAACAACAACAGCGGAGGCAAGTTCCCCGGATCAGCCGCTCTTGGTGGACGAGGGGGCGGCAGCAACGGCGGCAGCGAGGGCGCAGGCGGCCGCGGCGGCGGCGGCGGGGCGGATGGCGAGGAGGAACTGCCGGAAGAGTTGCAGCACCTCGAAAAGGCCATGGTGGACAAGATTCTGCAGGTAAAAGGGTCTCCTAGGGGGTAAGACCCGGTGCAGGGTATGGGAGTCGACGGGCGGGTTTTCGAACGAAAATGCGTTGGAAATCTTTTGATCGGCACACGCTTGAGCACGCGTCAAGTCTGCCTCTGTCATAGCATCATCGCAAGAAGGACCGTGGGCGGTCTTTTCCTTCACCCAGAGCGAACAATCGATTGGTGCTATGGTAGGAGGGTGCGCTTCTGTGATGAAACCTTACACGTTTGGGAGAAAACGTGTGGTCCTGCTTCGTTGATCTTGCGGCGAAATAGAACGCGGCCAAACAGTTGCGTAGTGTGTCTGCCTCCCTACCCGGAAGTGTATGATGAGGTGACCCCCCTACCGTAGCATCACTCGAAATCAACGTTTTGCTTGTGTGTGTTTATGGTGGGAACCACATAAGGCAACAATACAATGTTCCCCGAGATAAAACACTCCGACCACATTGAGAGAAATATCCCATGCTGTGTCTGCGTTAAAAAAAAAAATATATACCATGGATCCCTCCGTGCGGGATCATGGGGGTCAATTGTGGTCCCGGAGGAGCCGGAGGGAGGGTATTCCACGGTTTCCGCGTGGTGGGGGGCTTGCACAGCCCACCGATGCATAGAAAGCACGTTCGGGCCGAGCCCCGCCCAAAGTCTACCGACGACCCCAACCATTTCCGCGACTTAAAAGATCTCCCCTTGTGCTGTGACTAACTTTAACTCTACCATCAACCCCTTTAACTCGTGGCTAAATTTGAATCTACGGTCGACCCGTGTTGGTGTCGTGACTGAACTTCAAGTCTCATCTGCCATCGACCCCGTTCATTTGGTGGTTCTCAATCGTCCATTGCATGCAGGAGGTGCAGCAGAAGGGGGATCCCGTCACGTTCGACCAGATCGCAGGCCTGGAGTTCGCCAAGAAGAGCGTGATCGAGCTGGTCTGCTGGCCGATGGAGAGGCCGGACATCTTCACGGGGCTAAGGTCTCTGCCCAAGGGGCTGCTGCTCTTCGGACCCCCAGGAACCGGTGAACAGCTGCTGCACGTAGATAAATAGTGGTGCTATTGTGCGTTGGTTGCTACTGGCTTGCGGACCTTTCGGGTCCGTTGTATTTGAGTGAACCTTTCTTCGGGGTTAGTTAGCCTGTGACAACGGGAGTCGACCGCGCCAAGTGTTAGATTTGCACAACGTACTGATACGTAAAGAGACCGGAATGGATTTCATTCGTGAAGACAAGCACAACATCAACACCACCAGTATGGGGGTCACCTCATCTTTCACTTTCGGGTAGGAAAAAACAATCTCTACTTCTAACCTTGTGCTTGTGGCCGCGTCCTGTATCCTCGTAAGATCGACGAAACCGGACAACGCTTTTGCTCCAAAAGTGAAAATTGTCATCCCGAAAGTGCAGCCCCCTACCGTAGCATCACTCGATACCAGAACGCGACTCTATCGTTAGGACCTGGGAAGTAAATCACTTCAAGCTAGAAGCACAAAGGAAGATATTTCGAAGAATATTTTACACGCTACGCCAAGAACGAACGGAGATGCATTTACATGACCAGGTGACCTGTGTGAGAATCCTGTCGCCCTGAATATGGTGCACATATGAAAGAAGAAACAAGAGCCTCGGGAGAAAATGCCTTCATATATGTATATATTTTCTTGGTGGCACATTCTGTACCGGAATTCACTTGTTCGATATAAATATTTTGTCCTGCTGATATTTCAGACTGCTTTCTTTGGAGATGCCCGAGGGGGGGCGGCAGAAAGTGTGTTGGGTGGTTGTGGTTTTGCTTGTGGTAATAGTGGTGATGGTGTTTGTGGTAGAGTATGATGGGGGTGATGTGATCGGTCTGCCGGGGCCAAGCCGGCGAAAATCTCGGATGTGTGTAAGACATGTCTCCATGTGTTTTGCACGTTGGGCAGCATCGTTTTCGATGATCAACGGTGACTACTACACTGCTACCTTGTCTAGCGCTGCTGCTCAAGCCTCAGACTCGACCTCTGAGGGTTAGTCGGCCAAGATGATTCACGTGTGTCGACACGGAAACTCTTGACTCTTTGGACAACCATCCAGGCCAGAGGCATCATTGCCGACACAATTTTTGGAAGGAATGGTATATATTTCCGTTTAGGATGGCGTTTGGTGTTTAATGTTTTTTCCATGCCTGCAGGCAAGACTCTAATCGGCAAGGCCATCGCACACCAGTCCGGAGCGACGTTTTTCTCCATCTCCGCGTCGTCATTGTGCAGCAAATGGATCGGCGAAGGGGAGAAAATGGTGCGAACCCTCTTCGCCGTTGCTGGATACCACCAGGTGAATACTTGTTGTTCTTGCTGCTGCTTGCTTGTTGAAAACTTGTAGTATCATCGTGCTTGCTGCTTGCTGCTTGCTGCTTGCTGCTGCTGCTGCTGCTTGCTTGTTGAAGACTACTAGTATTATCGTTTGGAAGACGCGCAGTAGCCTAGACCATCGGTAGAGCGGAGAGCGCGTGCTGCGGCTGTGATCGTTCGGAAGCCTTGTAATGGTCTAGTCGAGGCTACATGTCGTCAGAGCGCAGGGCTCGTTGGCTTTTTCTCTCCAACCCACACTTCCAGCATTGGTGCATTACCCTCCCTCCTTGGCGTACATGTGTCTAGCCGGCCGTGATCTTCATTGACGAGGTGGACTCGATGCTGTCCATGCGGAGCGCGGACGAGAACGAGGCTAGCCGCCGCCTCAAGACCGAGTTCCTCATTCAGCTCGATGGCGCTGGCACAAAGTGAGACCCAAACTGCTGTGTGTCGACACTACTGCGGGACGTTGGTGCTGCATGAATGCTTCTTTGAGCCATGGTGCTACCAGCGGAATTTCGATTTCTACCCCACCTTTTGCTACTTATTTTGGACGCGGAGGATGAGATTTGTCTGCCGCCAGCGGATATGGGCCCTTTTGCATACGAATGCTGCCAGCGGTCATGGGCCTTTCTCCTTGCGAGTACGACGGTAAATTTGCTGAGGTGTGGCCCAGTTTTTGAGTCGACATTTGACTATGGACTTCGTCGCTTCTAGCTCTATGTTTTCCTCTCTATCTCCGGCGACGTGCCTCTGCGAAACTTGTGTCTCGCTAACTTGACCATCGGCGTCTCCTGTTCGCCGCTTCTGGTATTGGGCAGGAACGCTTGACGGTTCCCTGTGGTGTTGGAATGTCTACGCGTACTCTTGTTGACACTCAGCTGCGCTTTCGAACCTGAGATGGTTCACCATGGCGAACTGACGGTTGCAAACCGCCCTGCCTCTGCCAATGATGATGATTCGTCAGAGCCGCCGATCGTGTGCTGGTGGTTGGCGCTACCAATCGGCCTCAAGAACTAGACGAGGCGGCGAGGAGAAGGTAAGGTGTGTCTCTCTCGTCCATTCCATCATCCATCCCTCCATGGGCAGAACAGTATGCATGTCATCAGCAGGCGTCGATATTGCACAAGTCATGGATCAATTGTATTGTCTAATCCTAACGTGACAGCTCCGTCTGTTGTACGAGCGAACATTGATGTCGTTCAATCCAAGGTGTCGTATTCGGATACCTCGTAGGCCCTGTAACATGGGGCATTTTTTTTTATGGTATTGGCTTAAGCGCACGAGGTTGGCAGGGGCTATCCTTCGAACGGCCCTCGGCCCTTAAACTTTGAGGCACCACCGACTTCGGTGTCTTTCGACGTTTTTTGGTTCGGAAACCAATTCTGAACGATGTTCTACCAGGTTCGTCAAACGGCTTTATGTTCCTCTACCGGACAAGACCGGTCGTCGCCAGCTGATGAACATCCTCCTCAAGACCAGCGTCAGCAGCCTTACCGCAGAAGACGTGGAGACAGTGGTGGAAGGGACCGAGGGTAAGAACAAAGAACTACATGTGTTGTTTATGTTGGTGTTGGTGTTATTGTTGTTGTTAATGTCTTTTCTGTCTTTTCTGGCCCAATGGTTGTCCACGCCAGCGTGTAGTTCCTCCCGCGACAACTCTTGTATAGCCGAGTCGAACATATTTGTACAGTCCCCAAGAGATTAGGACCCGCCCCCTTGCAGACGTCTGCAGGGCATGCATGCCTCCAAGCTTGCCGCGAGAAGGATTTGTGCGGCAATGAATCGCCTTTCCCTCTCGTCGACGCGCACGAACAAGGTCGTTTTCTTCCTTTTGTTTGCGGTTTCTTAGCCCTCGACACCGTCCACTTAAGCAGTGGGCCTCTCTTCTTTCGCAACGCCATCCTGCATGGCCTTCGACCCTACCGTACCGCTCAGCCTTGGCCTTTGATTTTCCCGATGTTGTGCCATCTTACCGCAATACGACTGACGGGGCTATCAAACGATTATGTGGCAGCACACCAAACCAGTGTCCCCCCCAACCTTGCTGTTGTCTTGTCGTGGATCGCAGGTTTTTCAGGGGCAGATCTCCACGCCCTGTGCACGGAGGCTGCGATGGGGCCTGTCAGAGACTTGGGCAGCAACATCTGCAGCGTCAAGGTGTCCGACGTTCCCCCCATGGAAACCCGGCATTTCACGGAAGCCCGGCAGTCCATGCGTCCCAGTGTTGGCGCGGAAGAGATCACCCACTACCTCAAGTGGAATGAGGAGTTCGGCTCGTTCAAGCGGATGTAAAAACTGTTGAGCTCTACAGGCAGTCTACGTTGGTGTTTTGGGATACAGGTTCAATCAACCTGAGTGTAACCAGGAACCATGCCGAAGACTGCATGCGCTCCACCACTTGCGCTCCTCCTTCTTTGCATTTTTACTGTTTTCGTTCACACGTCTAGATGGACACACCAGTCTGTGTACACCTTTCGCGATACTGCATGTTTGACTGTTTGACTGTTTGACTGTTTGGCGTGCTTGTTAGGTCACACAAATACTGTAGTACTAAATACGCAACGGGTATTCGCCAGGGCGCTTGTCTTGTCGTTTCGTAAAATTCCACGCGTTGACAAGCATGAAGGTGTCGCGGGATCCTTCGCGTGGTGCGTGACAGTCACGATATCAGTCGGAGCTTGCCCGTTCTGCCCTGAAGCGTGTTGCGCTCGTACGCATGGGCCCCTATTCTTGTCGATAGAGGCACAGTCTTGGTTGCGACGCCTCAAACATCCATTCCCGCGATCGCATCGCGTTGCTGGCTTGGTTCCGCCCTCATGTACGAAGACCTGCGATTCTGTGGTGGGTATCTCCGCTGTACGTGCTTGCTTGCGTCGTGGCCCAATCGTTCGTTGTCTGGCGAAACACGTACTACATATGTTTCTGTGTGTTGGTGGCCACATTGTCGCAGTGAGGCTCCATCTCGTGGTGCTCGTTGTTCTTTGGTGCGCGAATATGTATAAAAGGCTCCCCTTCGGGAGTTAGGTGGCTTGCCTCGCCGGGCGACGCAAGAGGCCATGGGCAATGCCATCGCGGCCACCGATGCACGTCGACGTTCGACAAACTGCAGAACTTCATGTGCAGGGTGGCATTGGTTTTTCTCCCATCGTGGCTTGTTGGTGCGCATGGGTGTGTGCATCTAGGCTGGCGGCATATTTGCCGCAGATGCTACTGCTGAAACCGGCTGCGTTTGAATCACTCGCTGTTTTGTGTGTGGGAACGGAAGTCCGTTGCGCGCGGATCAAAAGTGTTCGTGTGCTTGTGTATGCGGAGAAAGAGTCAAAACGATGCGAATACATACACTACGGCGCTGAAGCCCCCCAAGTGGCCGGCGGGGCCCGAACCGCAAGGCGAAAGGGGGCAGGAGTGCAACAGGAGTGCATTGTACGAAGAGAGAAACGAACATGGCACACAAAGCCTCCCGCTTCCTGTGCAGCAAGCAGGCATTCGCTTTTCCGCGTTTGTCAATGCAAGTCGAACGGTGACACAACGACCGTGGAAAGAACAGCGGACGAAGAAGAATTGATGTCGACTTTTGGAAAGGTGGGAGTTTTGAAGGCTGACCCTTTGCAGAAGTTTTGTGTGGCCAATGGAAGAGAATCTCCTCGTGCATGCTCGGGGGAAGTGAATACTTTGTGAACGAATAAACAACGCGTCGGGCATGTCGTCGTCGAAGTTTTTTTTCGGCGTGGACATGGATTGGTGTATTTATTGTAGATATTCACATTAAAGGGCAAGGAGGGGCAAGTGGAGATGGGGGTTAGCATGCATTGAACGCAAAGGTTGAGTTTGGGCACTGTCTACGGTTTGAATAGAAAATATGAACTGACCGTAATCGTTTGCTGGTCTTGAAGGATATGTCGTGGATCGCATCGACGTCTACAAAGTCGGCATTGGTGCCGTGCGAGAAATAACGGAACACTGAGAACAACAAAGAAAGGGAAGGATGGAACTACTGTACGAGGAAAAGGTGTCGATTGTTCGCAGCTCGAGTGCCATCGTTGGCTAATAGTGGTTCAAATCGACATTAGATTCCGTAACGATGTGAAACCCGTCGCGACACCGTCTGTAGTTTTTTATGAATTATTCATCGAGGTGACCGTACGTGTTGTGCACTCACCGTTGTACGTTGGAACGCGTGCCTTCGCTGACGGGGTGATTGAGTCCGGGGTGCATAGTCTACATGAACAGATACGAAAATAACACCATATTCGCCGAATTCGGAGTGAACTCTGTGATTCAGAGTGAGAATATACTATTCGGAAACATATAAATCACACGATCGATATCTTGAGACATGTACTGTTCTACACCTACTGCTGTGAACCGCTTGCAAGAGACAAACAATTGAATGAAAACATACAACACATTGACATATTGTAACCTCTCCCATTCACGAGCCAAACGCACAGTTGAAAAACATTAGGCAACTTAAACGTATCGCACAATAATGGGGCTCTGCGACGCTTTGACAATTATTGGGTCTTTGATCATAACTGACTCGTGTCTCGATCGCCCGATTATGATCCGATCATGACCCGATCATGACCCAATCATAACTCTGTCATGACGGTCTTGAACCAAGGCATGACTCGATGTGACCGAGTCATGGTCATGATTGGGTCATGAACCAGTCGATGACACGAAGTCATAAAAAGTCGTTCTTCGGTCATACTTCGGTGATTCTTCGGTCGTGTTCTGGTCATGACCGAGCCATGGGCGCATCACGACCCAGTTGTGACCGAGTCACGAGTTATGGCTCGGTCAGCTTCAACTTTCGTCTCTCCCTTGAGGCCATGACCATGATACGAGCAACTACATTTGCTCCTTTGGGTAATGATAGCTGCCACGAGCTAGGAATCACTCGCTTGGGTTCATGACCACGACTTCGACCTCATAGATTCACTCATTTTGGGCAATGATCATGATCACAAGGAAACATGTTTGCTCCTAGGCGAAATCATTGCCATCATGAACTATCAATATCACTGCTTTGGTGTCATTATTCCGGTGGCGAGCAAACACTAAACATTCACTCCCGAAGTCTGATGATCATCATCGCGACCAACAATATACACTCGCGTGGAGTGATGATTACGCACATGACCTATCTATGATATCACTCATGTGGGGCTAAGATCACGATCTCGAGCGAATTCATTCACTCGCGTGGGATCGTTATCACCATCACGAGCAAACACATTTTCACATTCACTCTCTTTGGGTTGTGATCGCGACTACGACCAAATAGTGTCACTTGCCTGTGGGCCGACAAACATTTTTGCGTCTCGATGTGGAAGTAACTCAAGTGCTTGAGTGGTTCCCTCGTGGAATATTTCGGTCACTCTCGCGTAAAAGAATCGCTGTCAACGATATCCAAGACATGAATGACCCTCCCGCTCTTGGTACGAGGTTCATCAGTTCATTATTGTCTTTTTCTTTTCTCTACGGTACACTAGGTTCACTTTGCATACGTATTTCGGTTCTGCAGAGTTTTTGGTGAGGGCTGGTTGTAGGTAGGTGCCCCTCCCAACGTTAACGACGACATGGAATCGCCTGTCTTTGGCACCTGGGCATACCGATAGGCTGGGATAGGTATTATTCTCTCTTTCCGCCGATGTCTCGGCGACATGTTGGCGATGATCACAGGTATCTATGGTAGAAGTTGACGGTCCGTTCCTTTTTGTCAAGCGTTGCTGCTTCTCTGTAGTGATTCGACCCAGTGTATGTCGGGGAAATTGGGGCTTCTTGGGGATGTAGACTTGTGTGTGTGGAAGATAGTCGCGAATGTATTCTCGAACATGTGCTGTGCACTTTTGTTGGAAGGTGTTTAGGGTAGTCCTTGAGTTGCTGCGTGTTCTCTCCGTAGTACGTCGCAACAGCAGAACGTGCTCATGCAGGAGTGACTACTGATGCACAGACGCAGAGGACTCGATTGTGCATTCTGATAGCCATAAGTCAACGGCAAAACACATGTGCTGTTAGTGAATAAAGCTTTGCTTGTGAAGCTGCATCACATCGTCATTCGTCACTTTTCATTTTCACTCAAGTGCATGCCCAACCCCGAACGCGTAGATATTTGTTGAGGTGTTGCAAGAAACCAAACTTTTTCCCAGCAGTGGAATCGAACATGTGGGTTGGAACGCCGATATTGTGCTCGTCTTGTGTGGCCCTGCTGTTAAGCTTGTAGCTACATGTTCGCGCGAGACGTGTCTTGTGGCATGTGCGAGGATGGCATGTGCGAGGATGAAACATGTGGAATAGGATGAAAAATTATGGTCGGTCTGAGGCGAATACGCAAGGCGGGACAGCAACTAATGGGGACGACATTTGATATTGGCGTATGAATAGGGATGGTAGCTTTTCTTGACATGGAAACATGATTCTTCAATAAAGATGGCAACGCCACGTTGAACAATAGGGCGATGGATATGCGACAAGCAACACTCACGTATGCAACAGCAACACACAAACTTCAAGAATAACTGTTGTGCACCATAAGAAAAAGCAGGAATAATCACCACCTATCTATCGCCGGTCGATCGTGCTTCCGTGGAACTTTCTTCGGCCGCGGTCCTCCCCTCCCCCCGATCTTTCTCCCCCTATCCCCGCGGTACTCATTCAAGTGATACTTGAGCCACCTCAGCTCCACCCCCCCCGTCGAAAGGTACATGTTCTGTTCAGACTTCATGCGCAGCGTTCTCGATAGAGCCGGGTTTCCGGACAGCACCCAGGCGTCTTTCTCGGCTACTTCTCGTCGCAAGAACTCAAGCAGTCCGAGCCAGCTCTTCTCCGCTCCCTGATCGAGCCTGTAGTCCCAGGGGGGGTTCGTGACAGCAAGGCCGACGGAAGTGGGGGGTCGCCACCTCCCCACGTCCTCATCGAAGAGAGTGATGCAGTCCTCTACACCGGCAGCCTTTGCGTCCCGCTGAGAGGATCAACCGGGTTATCAGGGCGGGGGGGCGGGGGCGTATTCATGTATTACATCAGCAGTGATACCCTTTGACAACACGTGCTCCGTCGGGAGGGCGTGCTCATGTGTTGCATGCCTTAGCGGTTAGTCCATTGACGACGCGTTCTCGAGAGGATGAAGCATGGTTCCCACGGGACCGATTACCGAAGGCCAATCGTTCCTTCCTACCTTGCCTAAGGTGTCTCGAACATTTTCTTACTCTAAACATCACATGTTTTCTTATCCCATCATCACAACTACGTGTAACTTGCTTTCCCCGCCTTTTCAGCGGGGGGGGGGGCGTACTCTTATGTTTTGCATGCCTTAGCGGTTAAACCATTGACCACGCGTCCTCGAGAGGACGGAGTATTGTTCCCACAGGACCGATCACCGATGGCCAATCGTTCATTTCTACTTTGCCAAAGGTGGCTCAAAAATGTCTTCCCTAGTCTGTCTATCCTAACGAGATCCCTTCCCGCCTTTTCAACCCACCTCCTGTGCCCCAGTACAGCTACCGTCCTTTCCTCCCTATTCCATGCCTCAAACATCTCCCTGTACGTCCCATCTATTTTTCCCAGCTCAGTCACGTACACTTCCGGGGGGGGAGGCAGAATTGCCCTCAACCCAAGTTGGAGGTCTTGATCGACAAGCAATCCGATAACGCCAACGAAGCACCCACCAACACACATGCGAGCAAAGCGGACGACACAGTCCCCTCACGTCCCCGGACAACCGAAGAAGGATGTTTTTTGCACGCTTCCGTCCAAGAATCTCGATGGAGAGCAGGCGTTCCAAGCTCGGAGCGCAGAGAGGGAGGGGATTACAATGGACTAAAACCTTCTGCATACTCTTTTCCAGGGGTGATTTTGCACACATCGGTCAACTCGTGGAATCCTGGTACGTGCACTGATGCAGCTCCATCTCCCCCTCGGTCTGTAGACCACAGTTCTCTGTCGGAACCCTCAAATAAAACACTCTCTTCCTTACGCGGCGATCGATTTCTAAACATCCATCAAGGTATCTTTGACACACTTACCCAA